CTGGAGTCCCAGGATCGAGTCCCGCATCGGGCTCCCTGCTCGGCAGGGAGCCTGCTTCTCCCTCTGACCCTCCCCCGTCTCCTGCTCTCTCTCTCTCATTCTCTCTCAAATAAATAAATAAAATCTTTAAAAAAAAAATAAAAAAAAATACTTCCATTTGTCCACGGAGAGTTATGTGAGTTTCTGACTCCTGGCCGGGAAACCCTTTCCATCTAAGAGAGTCTAGAGGATTCAGTGAGATAACACGCATTTCCTCTGCTCTCCTCTCCCGAGAGTCCAAGAGTCAGCCGATGATCTCCAGACATCCAGTGGGTTATTCATTTTAGGCCTTTTTCCATCCAATCTTTGACCAGGGCAGCTGAGGCTCCCTTGACAATCTTGAGTTTCCCCCAAAATAATCCAGTCACTCAAGAGGACAATGGTAGCCTTCCAGCTCTTCTAGAGTAGGCTGCAAACAGTTATCAAGATGGATCCATCCTTCAAATGCATGGACTCCTTGGAGCAGAACCACTTCCCTGCTTTGAGGCCACCACACCCATCAGGGCTATCAGGGCTCAGGGGAACGAGCCTCTATCTATCGTCCTCTGGGCGACTCCCCAGCTGCACTTCCTTCTGCTGTGGGCAGGCACCTCTGCCTCTGGTGAGGGAGTCCATGGCCTGGACCAGGAGAAGGAAGGCAGCCAAGGTTATGGCCATGAGAACAAACCTGTTCCGGGTAGAACAGGTTCTTGGGGGCAAGCAACAAAAACATACGCAATGCTGGTTAATTTAACCAGTTGTATTTATTTAAGCAGACTGTCTGGAAGAGTTAAAAAGCTAGGATCAGAGGCGGGGCCGCCAGAAATCACGGCATCCCATGAAATTCTAGGGGCCAGGCCATAAGGATCAAAATCAGGCCAAAGAACTCGTTCAGTGGAGTCACTGCTGCTTCTAGGACCTGGACACAGCTCCCACCCTCAGCAGAATGGATTCTGTGCTGTCCATCTTTCTAGCACTAGCTCTGGAGGGCCCCTGGGCATGTGCCTAAGCCCGAGGGTGAGGGTCATTGGGAAAGCCCGCATTTGTCTTTCTCACCTTACACACTGGGAGGCAGGCTGCTCTTAATACAGTGGAGTTTTCCCAAACATAGGAAGTGGATTCAGATGTTCTTCCCAGGTCTAATCTTGGTTACCACTGAGATCCAGGAGTTCATGGTCAGCCACAGGAGGCCATCATACCCACCGTCAAAATCCTCTCCCCACTTTCTGCAAAAGCTATGGCTCCCATGGAGGAGGCAATTGCCTCCTCCGTGGAGGCAATCGTTGCTATCATTGACCACTGTGTGCCAGGCATTCTGGACACTGTTTCTTTCACTTCTCAAGAGGTACATGGTTCCACTGTGAGCCACTGTGGCTGATCCACAGAGTAACCGGTAGCATTAGAAGGGATCTAAGGGATGGTCTGGGCCTGGCCGAACATCCTCCATTTACAGATGAGGAAAGAGAGGTCCAGATAGGGAAAGCATCTTGCCGAAAGTCACACAGCTACTTAGTGGCCTCTGCACTCTCTCTGGCTGACCCTGGGAAAAGTACATGTGGTGCCTTCTGTAATGACCCCACTGATGTTCCTGACTTCCTTCTCCGGCCAGGGTCCTGGCCCCAGATGGTAGCAATCTGGTAAGCAGTGAAATGGCAGAGGCCGGCAGAACCTGGAGCCAGAATTGGGATAACTCGTCCTCCTGGACCTGAGCCCAAGTGGGAGCTATGAGAGTAACAGCTCTGTTACCCTCCTGGACAGACCTGAGAGTCTCAAAGAAGTGTGCATGCACAGGAGCATGCGTGCCCGCGCACACACACACACACACACACACACACACACACACACCATGCACAAATGATATAAATGGGCATTAAATGCCATTGCTGATTCACCTTTGATTTTCTGAACAAATGTAGGACAGAAACAAATGAAATGTAAGGATTATCCAAAAAAGTCATTAAATTGAATTCATACCCTACCCCTCCCCCACCCCCTGCCCCAGTCTTTAATCAGAAGCTTTCAAAGGAGATCAAGCTGGAGAGTAGGCTGCAAAGGAGATCAAGGGTTTGGGTTTTTCCTTGCCTTTCCTTTTTTTCCCCCACAGCCTAGGTCAAATATATGCAATTGCAAGCAGAGGTTGGGGTTGAGGTAAAGGCTGATCTTAAAAGTAACTAGCTGGTTACTGATCAGTTGAGATTTTGTTACAGATTGATTTCACTCCAGGGGCAGACTCTGTTTAATTCTATGGCAGAGAAAGAGGCAGCACAAAGCCCGAGCAGATGTGGGGAGCCCCCTGACCCCTGACCCCTTCGCCTCCTGCAGGAGGGGACTCACCAGCTGGTTGAGAACGGTCGGTACGACACAAGAGAGGATTTTACGGTGGTCGTGCAGCCATTCTTCGAAAAAGTGGACATGCCAAAGACGTCGGTAAGGAAAGCAAGCATCGTGGATAAAGGGGAGCCACACAGAGCCCAGGCGGTTCTGACTGTCATTTGTGTATCGGATGCCCCTCTAACACGGCCCCTCCTTTATGCCCCGTGACCAGGCGGGGCTGCCCGACAGCTCTTTTTTTGCTCCTGACTGTTTCCACTTCAGCGGCAAAGCTCACGCTTACGTGGCCAGCGCCCTCTGGAACAACATGGTAAGAGGACCGAGGTAGGGAAACCTATTCTCCCTCTGCAGGAGAAAGACTCTGGAGAGCTTTTGAAGGAGTTCAGAGGCCCATCACTCAGGCTGTATGATCCCCCGCCCCGCAGCGATGACAGACCCCCTTGCCTGCGGCCCTCTCTCCGTTCCCCAGCCCTGACCTACAGCCTGACCTTTGCATTCTTACCACCTCTTTCCACTCCTTGCTTTAGCTGGAACCTGTTGGCCAGAAGACAACACAGCACAGTTTTGAATACAAGATCAATATCACCTGTCCGAACCAGGTAGTGTGCGAAGCACGTCCTTGCAAACAGGTCTACTTATCTGAGGCATCTTTTCCAGGATTTTAGCATCTCAGGTTTCTCCGCTCGTTTCATTCCCAGTTCCCACCCGCACCCCAGACTCCAGGTGATCATCCACAGAGCCCCAACTGGTTGGACCGTAAGGGGTGACAGCCCCTTGTGGCCAGGGGTCCCTAGTGTCCCTTTGTCTCTCCACGTCCCAGGGAGCCCCAGCAAGCTCCTGGACTGCACACAGCCGGGAAGAGGAAAATGGCAGTATCATCCAGCTCTCTTGGCGACTAGGGGGCAATAGAGAACGTCAAGGCCAGGATGGGGCAGAAGGATACCCTGTTTCCACGTAGCCACTGCCTCCATGGCAGGATAGAAAGAGTGAGGAATTGAGACCTGGAATATCTGCTAGGGCGATGGGGTGGGGTGTGGGGAGGGCTGGTCAAATGAAAGCTGGAGCTAGAAAAGCAGACATTAACTGGGAAGGCAAAGCAGAACCAGACCCCCATGTTCACTCACAAATGGTCAGAGAGATACTTGGACCTCTGTAGCTGTTCCCTCATCTCTACGAATTCCTCCGTATTGCCAGAGGAGTCTCAGGTCTAGACTGGGAACCTCTGAGCTGGGACTTACATGGAGCAGGACCTCAAAGCACCTGACTTTCTTGCCTGGGTAGGGTGGGAGTGGCCTGGGGTGGCAAGGGGTCTAGGGAGTAGGGAATAAGCAGAAGGTGGTGCTCTGCTGTGGGGGGGCGGGGCAGGGGCAGGAAGGAGAGGAGATGCAGCTACCCCAGCCAGCTGGGTGGGAGGCGGAGCGCAGACTTGCTCGCCTGGGAGCCACTGCAGGGTTTATTCTAATTGTTCCTACAAGTTCAGGTTGCAGAGAAGGCCCAGTGCATCCTGGGAGGGAGCCCACAGCAGTCAGCCTGGCAGGGAGGGGCTTGGGAATGCGGGCAGGGGAGGCCGACAGTGTTGTGCAGGAAGCCAGCGGAATTTGCTGGAGTTGCTCACCACCCTCTTCTCACAGTTCTGGCCGTTTCTGAGCACCTACAAGAACAGAATGCAGGTATGAGCTTGTTTCTTCCGGTGGCCCTCCAGCCAGCACGGTGGGCAGGCCCTGAGCCGGGACTGGCCCCACAAGGGGGGTGGGGGATGTGGGCAAGAGTCCTGCTGGGCAGCCAAGGGGGATTAATGCTCTTCTGTAATGTCCACCCACCTACACCTTCGGACGGGGCGGTGGGCAGAATAAGCCACACTGATAACAGCCCAGGTGGGACCACCCAGTCAATCCTCTTCAAAGACCTGGGTGAAGAGAGTTTTCCTCTTATAAAGCTGCTGCAGAAGCAGAGGTGGTGGCCAGGGGTGGAGTGGGGTTATTGTGCTGATGCTCTGATTCTCGCACCTGATTGTGGGTGGGGGGAACGGGGTCTGAACTAGATTAGCAGATCCCAGCCTGGGATCACCTAGGGAGGCTTCTACAGGTGCCCTTCCAGGTACCCCCCCCCCCAGGGTGGGGACCAGGAGCTGTGTTTGATGAAACTCTCCAAGTGAGTCTGATGCCCAACCAGCCTCTCTGGTCCCTTTCAACCCTAAGATTCTACCATTCATTCTATGCCTTTAGAGTCATGGGAGCCAGCTGCCATGCAGGGACAGAGCCCCTTCTGCCTCGACGCCCACCTCAGGTAAGCCCCTTATGATACACCAGAACCCAGGGCCCCTCCACAAGGACTCAGAGGCCAATGAGTGCCCTGACAAGACTTGGCATATATAACTAAATGACGCCATTTGGGCTGGTGTTTGCTTCCTGTCTGGGTGGTTGCCTGGGACAGGTCCCTGCTTTGTCCCCCTCTGCCCTGCAGTGATGTCTTTACCCTATAGGACCCAAGGTGGCCAGACCAGGAACTGTTTGCTACCCTCTCAATTCAGCCTGTTAGTCGGGGACCCCCAGAAGCTCCCCCCTTCATGGCCCAGCCCAGTGGTGTGACCTCCCTGAGGGCCAGAGCTGGGGATGCGGTGCCCAGGGAGTCCCAAGAGCGAGTCAGCTCTTCAGGGTGCCCTGTGGCCCCAGGCTTTGCGGTCACTGCTGCTTGCAGTAGAGCCAAGAAGTTCCTTGGAGTCTTCAAAAGAGATTTGGGATGGGCAAGGCCTGACATGACTATTTCTCAGATTCTTGGTGGAAATCCAGAACGCAGCTCTAGATGGGCTGAGCCTCAGACCCTGTAGCTCATCTCAGATGGCCCACACCCAGGGGGCCCTGCCCTTGGGTCACAGCTGGCCTCCCACCCCCCCACTGGGGCTGATGTGGTAGATTCCCCTCCGCCCCCCCTACCGTCCATCCATCCATCCCCTTCCCGTCCTCTCCCTCAGCACCTCTCTCCCCACAGGCCCAGGATTTGTTTGTTGGGTCTTCTATGGGGAAACCCATCATATAACCTCTGCCTCTGTGGCCCCCCCACACACACAGGTTGTGCCTCTGGTCTTCCTTCCAAGTCGGAAGCACTAGACCCTGACTACAGGTTCCTTCCCTCTGACCCAAGTGTCTTGTCTTGGCTTGTCTTTCCAGTGCACAACCTGAGAGCGGCAGATATCCAAGTCGTGGCTGCGCTGGGGGACTCTCTGACTGTAAGGACGCTTGGGCCCCAAGTGCGTTAGGGTAGCTGTACCAGTCAGTTCCAGGGCCTGTACCCCTCCCTTCTGCATTCCCCTGCCCCTCAGGCCTGGCTCTGTCCATCCCAGAGCGTGGCAGTGGTTTGGTTTTGCAGTCACTTTCTCAATCAGGTGTGCAAGGGGCAATCTTTTTCAGGAGCGAACCGAATTGTCTCAGATAGTGGAGGTTTTGAACACCTCACAATGCTTTTTTTAACAATTGCAAAAAAGATGTCATTTCAACTCAAAATAATCTTCTGAACCTAGCCGCGTGGGTGCTCTTTTCCCTTTGGATTATGCTTTAGGAGTAGCTCATACCCTCACATATATTCTGTCTCTGCACCTGCATGGAAAGCAGCAGACTCCACAATTGTGGCTAAAGCTCTGCTCCGAAGTTCCAAGAAACAGGGCTCTGACCCTCCCAGATGACCACTTTCTGGCAACATTTCTGAGGCCATAAGATTGCCTTACAGAATGTCCTAGAGGGAAAGCGGAGAAATGTGAAGTTTCTGAGAAGCCTGCCCACTGCTGTCCACTCCAATCTACAGGCTCCTTCTTCGTGCTTGTAAGAGAACTTCGGAGCATAATGCTGGTAGTAATAATACGGCAGTGTCTCACGTGTCCAAAGCACTTTGGAGTGTTCAGTGCTGTTTTTACGACCATGATCCAATTTGGTCATCAAAGCAATCCTATGAGATCATCAAGTCATGTCCTCAGTGCAGTAAGGAGGCAACTGAGAGGCAGGGAAGGCCTATGGCTGGAAAGGAGTGTGGCAGAACGCAAGCCTGGTCTCTGACCCCCAGTCCAGGGTCTGCTCACACCGCATGATGAGTGTGTTGGGAACTGCCCGTATCCCTTTCCTCAGACTTACTCCTTTTCCTATGGACTTTGGTGTGTTTTCAAAGGCTGGCAATGGAATTGGTTCCAAACCAGATGACCTTTCTGATGTCACCACTCAGTATCGGGGACTGTCATATAGGTAATGTTAACCCTTCACCCCTTCCCGCCCCAGGCTCACCCCCAGAAATTGGGTGAGGGGGTGTCTCTTGTAAATGCGTAAATACTGAAGAGCAAGGACCAGGTCCAGAAGGGGCTTTCAGAAGGAAAACCGATGTGTTTCTGCAAAATGTGACCATATGATGAGTGGAAAGGATATTTTATTGTTTAACCAACTGAGCCACCCAGGCGCCCCTAGGATATTTTATTGTTGATAACTTTTTTTTTCTTTAATTGTGCAGAAAAAGAAAACCAGGGTTCTTGTCAGACTCCTGGGTCAGCAAATCCAACATGAAATGCACCCGAAAAGCACCAAACCTCTGAGTCTTCACCTGCCTGTTTACATGGCTATGCACACGTGGAAATCTCCGTCTGTTTGCTGTCTCTATGTATTTATTCATGTCGTTCTGTGCTCACACCTCTGCCTTCACATATATGTCCACGTCTGTCCAGAAAACTCTGAAATGCAACACACTACTTCAGGAGGAAAGGACTAAGACTCACCAGCCCCGAGCCCTCTCCGTGTGCCTGCACCCGACTAGGCACTGAGACCGGTGGGCAAGGGGGGGACAGGAAGAACTGCCAAATGCTCGTGCTCGATGGGCAGGTGCTACTTGAAAGTAAGAGATGCCTGAGGGCCGCAGGAATAGAGAAGAGGGAGTAGGAAGGCTCCCAGAGAAGGTGGGAATTGACAGATTAGCCATTAGATAGATGAGAAAGGGCATTCCAGACGGGAGGTAGAAAAGCGCGGGCGAGTCAGGTGAGTGGTTGGATGTGGGTGGGTGTTCTCCGGGTTCTTTCTTTCCCAATGAAGTTCGTGTTTATGTATGTTTCACGGTAACTGGCGATTAGCTCGGAATTCCAAACGACTAGGACTAGAACGAGGCCAGCCAGGAGAGGGCAGAGTGCTAAGAAGTTTTGCAGCCACTCCACACGCTTGCCTCCTCGCTTTTTCTGCCCAGTGAATTCAGATGGAACGTTCCTTCCAGAAAAGTGAGAGGGAACAGGGTGGGGACAGTTGAGGCGATGGCAATTCTCTGGTCCAGCCTGAGGACAGCCCCAGAGGGGAAGGTTTGCCTGGGTGGGAGCGAGGCAGGGAGGACCCCGGGGCACGGGTAGCAGGAGGACACGAGCCGCTGTGGTAAATGCCTCCCGGCTCCCCGGGGCCTCCACCTTTCCCCATCCCCCCCAGCTGGGTAGAGGGCCTCTAATGGGCTGCGCAGAACAGAACAGAGCCTCGCCTCCTGACCACCGTGCCTCAAATGTTACTGAGGCTGCGAGAAAAAGAAAAGCCAGAGGGGAAGAAAGCAAGCAGAGCTTAGGACATACAATCCAGAAATGGCATGAGCTGGGGGCAGCCTCACTCAGTCTTGGCTAGGGAAGGCAGTGGCTTCAGGTCGTGTAGTGTGGGAAACCACACGCCGTGGTGGGGGGGTGGGGAAGCAAGGAGGTGTGCTCCACCTACCAGTCCCACGGGACAGATCCCTGGGATTCAGATACAAACAGGCAGTCTTCTTTTTTTTTTTTTTTTTCTTTAAAGACCTTATCTATTTGACAGAGAGAGAGAGAGAGACAGCTAGAGAGGGAACACAAGCAGGGGGAGCGGGAGAGGGAGAAGCAGGCTCCCGGCCGAGCAGAGAGCCCGATGCGGGGCTCGATCCCAGGACCCTGGGATCATGACCTGAGCCGAAGGCAGACGCCCAACGACTGAGCCACCCAGGCGCCCCCAGGCAATCTTCTGCTAAATGTTTCTCTGTAGCAATGGAAACATTCAGCCATTGCTCTATTTCTCCCTATAGGGGAGGCCAGGTGTGGCCTGATGTTTCAATCTTCTGGTTCTAGTCTAAAGCCTTGCCTATTCAGTGGCGCTGTGCCTTTAAACCCTTTGTTCTAAATGTTTCAGATCCACATGTGTTAATGATGGAAACTCTGGGTCAGAGCCTGAGTTATGGGTTTGACTCTTGGGTAAAATAGACTAATGTTTCCCAAAGAGTGTTCCATGGAACACCAACCCCCTACAGGTTTCTGAAGAGGGCAAAATTCTTTATATCGGGGAGGGAACATTACCCACAATATCCTTCTTGTGGAGAATTCACATGTATGTTAGCATATTAAAGGCTCTGAGAAGCCCTGCAATGAAGAAATGTGTCTAAATTGTATCTGTTTAACCCAATGTTTCTCTTAATCCCAGCATCCTTTCTTTGTTCACAAAACCTATCAGCATCCTCTGGGCAATGTCCATGTAGTAGGCTGACCTGAGAAAAGCAATTTTCTGAAGCCATTAAGCTTTGGGTTTGGAAACAATAGGCAGTGCATGGCTCCAGGTAAATGAAGAATGTAATTTGAGCCTCTTCCTCCAAGGAGACAAAGTGGAGAGAGGGGGGCCTCATAGAGTCAGACAGGGAAGATGACCCAGAATTCTTGGGAGGTGGGTTGCTGTGGGCAGGACCTGCAGGATGAGGCTTGGCCATGACTATTTCCAGAGTCCCTTGACCTGAGAGAACCATACGGCAGGGACAGGTGCTGGCTTTGGCTAGCTTAACTGTGTGGCAGGCCCAGAGGTCTTTAGAGCATTGCTTTTTCTTCAGTTGAAATAAATTCGCTTATTTGGTATCAAAGGACCAAAATAAAATTTGCTTACCCCCCCCCCAAAAAAATGCTTTTTTAAAAATTAGGTGTTCAATCTCACTGAAACTCCTTCCACAAATGTCATTGAGCGTCTACTCTGTAATTCTCTGTGCACTGTGGGTGACAAAAGACGAACAAAACGATTTGAACTTGTGGTTTAATATAAATTACATTAATCGGGAGGATCTCACACTAACTAGCTGTTTCGTACTGGTCTCTTTTCTTTCATGTGTCACATAAATCTGATCAAAATGAGGACTTAAATATTTTTGTTCATCCATATTTATTTGTGTAATTCTCTCTCCTAGAAATATTCACTCAGATTTCTGTAGCTTGTTCATCTTGATCAGCTACGGCACTTGTTTTAGAACAAAGATAGTTTTAGACAAGAAATTACAATAGGAAGTACTTGATGGGTGTGTTTAGGTATATCTCCATGCTTGTGTTTATATGTTTATTGAAGAAGAAAAGGAGGCATGATTGGAGGAGGTATATGGATTTCTAATTTCCTATAAAATGTTCTGAGTAAATGCTTTTTGTCGAAAGAAAGAAGGATCGGGTAGCTGCTGAAGCTGTTAGCTTCATGCACAGTTGAAGTAGAATCAGAAGCTGGAACAAAGGTCCAACCACTGGCTATGTTAGGGAGACGGGAGAGAGATACCTGAGTGAGATAGATGGCAGGGCTCACCTGGCTTCTTTCTTTCTATCACCTGGGGCTGCCAAGCCCCTGACTTGACCACCCTCATATGAAATAGTCTTCTTCATCCCAAGCAATTCCTTGAAGGAAGAACAGCCATGACTTTGATTCATGGCCTTCCTTTGGAAGTCTATACTGGTGGGCTGGATGCTAACACTATGTTCTCAAAATCTATTGGCTTAGAATAATGTGCTGGCATTGAGGAGGGAAGTGCAGAGGGGGAAAAAACAAAACAGTAAATACAGTACATTTGAACACTGGACTTTGTTAAAATAGAAATACTTCTCTCCTGGCCTCCCACATGTATTCAATATAAATGCATGAAAGGAAATGTAATTTTGAGTGCGGCTTGAGGTTAGATTGAACACCATGAAACTACATTCAAGTAGATAAAATCAGATTGGGCATTGGAAGGCAGTGAGAGGCTATCCCGTGAACCTCCCCATGGAATTTACCTCCCCCACTGGGCAGAGAAGAGCTAATGCATTTTCCAAAGGTTTGCAGCTCAAGCTGGTTTTTAGTTACCTTTCAAAAGTTAATTGAGCCCTCTGCACCTCAACTTCCTCCTCTGTAAAATGGGGATAATTGCATCTGTATCAGAAGCTTGTTTTGTTGGGAGGTGTTGGGTATCTAATGTAGAGAATCTAGGACATGCTGGGCACATAGCATATGCTCAGCTAAGTGCTTTCTGTCCTGATTTGGTGGAAAAAAGAAACAGCCCTTTTTTGCCTTCAAATCCTGGTTTTGGGGGGGGGGACCAACCCTTTGGGGAATTCAGATTTTTCTCAGAGTTTCTCCAACACAAAGAGACCAATGGGTCTGGCACATCTTACAGGTGCCGATGGCGTGAGCGCTAAGAAAGGTGGGGCGCTCTTTCATAAAGCCTAAGTATTGATTCACTCTCTCTCACTGGTTGGCTCACTCCCTACAGTTCAGGAGGGGATGACTCCCTGGAGACCGTGACCACCTTACCGAGTAAGTAACCGCCAGGGGCTTGAGTCTGTTCACTGGTTCCACCTGACCCCCCGCTTCCTGAGAATACCCCTCAGCTAAGAAAGGAGGAAGTCATCTTTGCGTACTGCCATCGCATGGGAGGAGAGGCCCATGGACAGGTAGCTGAAGGGGGTGTCATAAACACTCTATTTGGGGCCCTGAGGCTTGGGTTCAAGCCCTGGCTCTTCTCTGTGCTTGCCAAGTAACCTAGAGCAAGTCACCAAACATTCTGAGCCTCAGGTTTTTTCAACTGGCCCAGAGGGTGCAGAGACAATCCAATGAGATCATGAACATTCCCTGCACTGTGAAGAAAGGAAGGGAGGAAGGGAGGAAAGTAGGGAGGGAGGGAGGGAGGGAGGGAGGAAAGGAAAGAAGGAAGGGAGGGAGGGAGGGAGGGTACGAGGGAAGGAAGGAAAGAAAGAGGGAATGAGGGAAGGAAAGGAGGGGAGCTGAGAGGCTCTTACTGCCTTGGCCCACCATGTCATGGGTCATTTCCTCTCAGAGCGCCCCAACTCCTGCCAGGCACACCCTCCCCCTCCCTGCCTGACTGCATGAAGGTGGCGACAAAACCCACTCTGGGGAGCCTAGAACAGAGAAGATACCCCTCCCTCTTAAACCCTCTGTGTCCCATTCACGCCCTCCTCTTCCAGATATCCTTCGGAAGTTTAACAGAAATCTCACGGGCTATGCGGTGGGCAAGGGCGAGGCCAACGACACAAATGCCTTCCTCAATCAGGCTGTTCCTGGAGCAAAGGCTGAGTACGGCGTCTGGGGAGGGGGTCCGTGGGCCAGAGGGTGGGAGGCATGCAGTGCCCTTTAAGATTGTAATCCTGACCTCTGTGTGCGAAGGGGACACTTCTCCATTTGCAGTAATGACCTGAGAGGTCTTCAGCCACTCTCTTCCCTGGCTGCCCCTGTGACTAAGTCTGCAGCAGGGAGGCCCGAGAGGCTGGAGCTGGGACAGGAACCATGGCCTCAGAGGCTGAACTCCTGACCTTGCTTCTTGGGCCGCATGTTCTAATCATGCAACAACACACTAAACTTATCCAAGTTTTAATACTCACCGCGGCATAATGGTGCCAGAGAGATTCACTCTCTCCAAAGCCTCACAAGTGGCAGTTCCCCCAAAAGATCAGGGAGTGCAAAGAAATGAATGGACAAGCCGGAATCTCCAGCCGTGGAGGCTCCTGGGACAACACGTCATGGCCTGTCCCTAGCCCCGCTCTGGAGCCAGTAGGAAATGCCGTTGAGAAGCCAGAGGCAGCTGAAGCAGGACTGCTCGGCCCCCCAGGGTGGTCTCAGGAGGCCCCTCACCCTGCTCCTAGTGGCCCCAGCAGCCCGGCTTTCCTTGCTCCTGGCCCGGCCATCTGGCCCTCCAACACACTGTCACCTTCCAACTCAGGCCCACGCCCTTCTAGCTGATGGGCATGGCCTTCCAACCTGCTCATCCAGCCTGGGAAGACCCTTCTTGGCAGCAGAAACATCTGGGGACAGATGGACCCACCAGCAGGTCCCAGGAAATCACCGTGCTGTGGATCCATCTCACCCAGACCTGTAACAGGGGCCTGAACTACTGGGGAGCCCGGGATGCTTGAGATCTAGTCTTTCCATGAATTATAAACCCAAGCATGTAACAGTATATATTTATTCCCCACCTCTTTCTAAAAGAAGCGTCTGGCTAAGTTTACTGAAAAAATAACGCAAGTAACATGTATGTAAGTGAGAAAAATCACAGCCACTGGTCAGGTGCGGGGGGGATGGGGAAGAAGCAAGTGGGTCAAGTTGAGCATTTTTGCAGTTCTTATGCTTGTACATCAAACTCTCAGCTTCCTGGCAGCCCGGGGGGGGAAGGGGAAGCATGCTAAAACCTTCATAGATCTATTTTCATGATCTATACCAGTCCTTCAAAGGAGACAAATGGTTTCCTAGCATGGAATCCTAAAAGACACATTGCATGTGGAGTTCTAGAAAGGAGACCACGAGTAACAAATACAATTGACAGTACCCTCGACTGCAGCTTTAGGACAGACAGTTGGCTTTTCAAAGGGTTATTTGTTGTAATAACTCTCCAGAACAGGCAAGTAGCTCCTTGTCTGTGAGCCTCAGGATCTCTGGCAATTCGGGCAATGGGGATAATGCCATGGAAACCTCCAGTTCAGGCCCTTTAGGAGGAAAAATCCAGGCACTATTCTCCCATAGGACCGATTTCCTCTCCTTCTCAGGAAACTTATGAGCCAAGTCCAGACTCTGGTACAAAGGATGAAAGATGACCACGTGAGTCGGATTTACAGTTATTTTTAAACACTAATTTTCTAACCCACTGAAGTCCCCAAATGGAATGGTCTGCCATGAAAACAGCCACAGTCACTACAGAGGAGTTCAAGCCGTGGTAGGACGGCCCGAGTCCGAGGCCCTGGAGATTATGTCCATGGCCGTGGGGGGTGGGCTGTCCCTGATCACAGTGATCTTGAACATCCCTCCTGATGCTAAGGTTCTGTGGTCCATAAACTTCTAAAATTCTTTCAGCTCTGAGATTCTGATTCTATTATTTTGAGTGGGCAAGGAAGTCTTAAAGGGTTGAATGGATTTCCTAGGGCTGTGGCATTGTTTATTGGTTGGAAATCATCAAGCATTTTCCTCCTCCTGTGTAGAGAGTGAATTTCCACGAGGACTGGAAGATTATCACGGTGCTGATTGGAGGCAGTGACTTATGTGATTACTGCACAGATTCGGTACGGGGCGGGGGGTCAGACAGCCAGGCCTACTCATTGCTCCTGACATTGACCGGGAGGCCTTGGAGGTCCCCTTTGAGACTAGTCCCTAGAACCAACCCTAGGATTGTCCACCTACGCCTGCGTGTGTGTGCCTCCACTTACCCCATGACCCTCAGCTTTCTGGCCCCACCCACCTCCATGTCCCAGGGGGTGTGAGGTAGCAGGTGGCAGATATGGGGCTTCTAGTCCCCTCTTACAATTCCTGAGAATTCAGTAAGTGGAGAAACTGGAAACCCCGGCTATGGGAACGAGGACCCACACGTTCAGCTCCTAAACGAAAGCCCTGGCTGAAGGTTCCAGTCTTCTGGCTGGCCCATCTTTGATAATAGCGAGTAATCAACTGCTCAGATTCTGACATGATGAGCTGGTCCCAGCCAGAAGCCAGAGGGAGAAGAAGTCCTGGGGCTGGAGCCAGAGGGGGGCCTTCAGCTGCTCCAGTGCCCCTCTCCCGAAGTAGCTCCTCCTCTTCCTCCTGTGTCTTCCCAGAATCTGTATTCTGCAACCAACTTTTTTGACCATCTCCGCAACGCCTTGGACATCCTACATAGAGAGGTGGGTGGAGGCTCCGACAAGCTGGACCCAGCTCAAGCATGTGGCGGGGGGGAGTGTGGGTGGGGGAAAGAAGGTGAGATACCCCCTCCCCTGAAGGAGACAGCCAAGGGCATGGGCGCCTTCCCTTTCCAGAGTTTGGGGCCTACCTCCATTTGGAATCAGCACAGAAGGGTCTCAGGCTTGAAGAGAAGGCAGCTGGTGTGCTCCTTGTCCCCC